TTTTTTAATGCGTGTGTGTGTGAGTGAGCGAGTGAGTGTGTGAGAGAGGAAGAAACTATTAAATAAGAGACTCTCAGGAAGACACATTCAAAGTTACCACTCACAGGCGAGTGCCCCATAAACTAGCAACACACGTCTTTTAAACCATCCAGAGCAAAACTGTTAAAGGTTATGTAAATGACGTTATTCTGTTGATATGCTTAGTAAAATGTCAGTTACATACATCTGACATTATGAAATAGGTAATTCTCCTTCATGCTTTTATCTTACTGAACTCCATTCTTCCTTTTATTATTATTTATTTTTAGTTATTTATTTTTCATTGCCATGAATACATTGTACCATTAATATAGCAAGTGTATAGGTTGAAGTATCTGCAATAATGATCAGAAAATATGTTGGGACAACATTTGATGTTAATTAAAAGAAAATGGAAGAAAAACTAAGATTGATATGAAGAATATTAGTTGTAACAATCAGTTCAGTACTATTTTGTTCCAGCTTACTGCTCATGAAGAGGTATTATAATTAAGATACATTAAACCTATCTTCTGAAAAAGTAGCATGTCAAAGCAAAAGATATTGGTGAAAAGTACCACAACTTGAGTTATATTAACCCCATAGAGCCCAAAATCTGGGCATCAGGCTTACTTGAGTAGCCACTCTGATGGGTGTGTGGCTTCTAGGCTGGATGCACACAAACACTCATGGGTGGTGTCATTTGCAATGCAAGTTATGGCATAAGCATTTTTAATGTTTTTACCATTTTTCAATATCTATATTTGTCATTTGATATACTGTATCTGGATGGTACAGACTCTCTATCATCTCTCTAGGCTTTCCATAACTTAAAGCAGTAATGATAATAAGTAACATTTTGTTATTTGTGTCATTTCATCAATTTTTCATAATTTTCAATTTTCTCTAACAACTTGTGTCACCGATCACAGCAAGCAGGAATAGGATCCTGAGCATGGAAATAGTGTTCTCCATGGAGCTGGGCCTCTGCCAGGCATGACTCAAAGATGGTACATTCCACTCTTATTTATCAACGGAAAAATACGATATGCCTTTCCTAACTGTCCACTGAGTATAATCACCCTCCAAGAGTTTTGTGCACTCAGGAAGAGGCATTCCTGTTGCCTGGCCTTCAGCTGAAATTCTCATGACTGCATGTATCCATCACCCCGGCCCTATGCCAATTTTTTCCATGATGGCATGCTCACATCACCCCCCCTCAAGCCAGATTTTTTCATGATGTGATGATTACTTCATCCAAATCGTAGGGGTTAAGGGAAGAAGTGACAGAAAGAAACAGTCATGAAGATGAAGCATGTCAGTGATGAAAATTATGAACTTCTAGGGACCCCTGTGCACCACTCACTGCGGGCGACCACATGAGAGTGAAGGCTATGATTTTACACCACTTTCATAAACTTGGGAGTATATTGAAGGTAATGCTGTTGAGAACCAAACATGATGTTTTGCATGCTCATAAACCTAAAAACACCTGTTGCAGTAGTTGAAAGTTTTTGTATAGAGTCCAGACTCTCTGATAATGCCATTTGTGTTACTCTCAGTAACACATTAGCCAAGATATCATGAGGGTAAATCAAAATTTTTATATAAAAAAAAATTGACGACATCATCACTGGGCTGCATGCCAAGCTTCAAAGCATCTGCTGTCAAGGATTTTGGTGATGGCATGCAGTCACTTCCTGGCTGCAGTACGGTTCCTGGTAGAGTAAGCCCCTTCTCAGAAATCCCCAAGTAGGTCTGGAGGCCTTCTCCACCCAGGGCAAGATGGATCGCCTTCCTGTACCAAACTTGGACTGGCGAGTTATTGAATAGTAGCTCACCATCTGATCACCAACATTGACACCTTTCATGCCGATATTGTAATCCTTTACTAACAACGACTTCCACTGCAGCAGTATAGACTCTTGACAGCATAGTGACATTGCTGCAATCCTGTCTTGCTGCTGCAGTTTTCGACATCACTATTCCCTCCTCACACCAAGGTCTTTCGGCATGAACTTCCTGTTCAGCCGGGCTGTCCCTACTGCATTTTTCCCTTTTGCCTGCAACATATGAAAGAGACTGTGAGACATATACCATAAACAAATGATATCCTATCCTAAGGAAGCCACTGGTCTCCATCAAGTGAAGCAACGCTTTCATGGACCAGTGCATGTCGCCACGGTCCTGCCCGGGGTACACCTTCTGGTTTTATCTCTTTAGGGAGTGACTGTGTGGATGTGAGTGCCTACAGGTATGGCTGGGTGATGGAGGCTGAAGTTGGAGATCTACGGGAAAGGCAGCAGGCTCCCCAGTCGGCTTAGGATTGGGCAGTCCTTGTGTGCTACTGCTGTGGTCTTGCTCTGCTGGAGGATTGGGGATTGCTGATCTCGCTTACGGCTTCTGCGGCTTAAATACACGAGCGTTGTGTAAACGCGCAGGGAACGTTAGGGAGCCTGCTGTCCAATGAGTACGGACACGGCGGTGGACCTGGCGTGACCCAACCTGGGAAAGTATGCTGAAATTCAGGTTGCAGGATCATGCTGCTACAACCTTGAAACAAGAGGTGTACCCTGCTGCCGGGCTGGTACTGGCAGAGAGCTTATAGACCTTCAACCCTCTTGGTCGGGTTGTATATCTTGAAGGTTTGTCGCCTATGGAACTTCCATATCTTGTTGATGGCGATGTCCTCCCCCGGCACAAATGTTGACCAGATCAAGTCATTGAGGGTATCGACAACTGGTTAGAGCTTCCAAATCCTGTCCTCTGAGATGGAAGAGGTGAATCATCATCTGGTCGAATGATCCCTGGTCATGACCTTGGCAGTAAGTTCATCATGCAGGAAGTTGTTGGTCGACCAGTATTCACAATAACTGGGACATCCACTATCCTTGTGATCACTTGGATCCCAAAATCTGACATGAGCTCCTGCCTGGACATGAAGTGAGGCGGCAGGAGGGACAGCTGTATACCTGTAGGTGTTGTAAAGAAAAATGAGTAATTATTACATTCGGATAGCTTAATGGAAGAGATATTTCCTCAGCATGAATACAAATGGAAAGAACACAAAAGCGATAAAAACAAAACTTCAAGTTGGTTTCCTTCATGACTAGATCAAGAAGATAAAAAAAAAAGAAAAAAAAGAATTAAAGATCTCCAAGGGCATGCTTGACACATCCATGGTAACTTGACCCAGGGCTGCCTTGGAAGCTGAAACACTCAGGGACGTTGTCCTCCTGTCTCTAGACAAAGTTCCTGGACCCTGGAGCAGCAGCTTGGCAGCCACATTGGGAAGGGTTCATCACTGTTTGCATGGTGTTGACCTGCAAAATGTAATCTAGTTCATCCTCTGAACTAGATATGTTGAAGCTTGGGTCTACAGCATCCTCAGCCCAACTGGCAACCACTCATTGCCACTCTCTTAGGAGCAGTTGAAGAAGGTGGGAGACCAGGGAGAAAACTGCAAACAGCATGGCCCCAGAGCACCTTGGCCGGAGGTGCCAATAAAGGTGATGGCTGGGGAGAAGGAGTGTCTGTAAATTTTTTTAAACCAAGGCATTGTGAAAGTGAGTAATGAATGAAGTGCAAGCACTTCTATGTATATGGAAAATTTCTCACTTTAACTTGGCGGGGAACATGTAACCAGCAGTAGCCAATGAGATCAATGCAGCCTGGGTCATGTGTAACACACACAAACAATCAGGTCATAGCCTAGTGTACTGACATCACTTCCTTATGTGACATCATTGACTATTACTTGGATGTAAGATGGCAGCTGTAAAGTGACATCACTTCCTCTCTCTCTCTCTCTCTCTCTCTCTCTCTCTCTCTCTCTCTCTCTCTCTCTCTCTCTCTCTCTCTCTCTCTCTCTCTCTCTCTCTCTCTCTCTCTCTCTCTCTCTTTTTCCCCTCCCCCCCCCCTCTTTCTCTCTCTCTCTTTCTTTCTCTTTCTTTCCTCTTTCTCTTTCTCTCTCTCTCTCTCTCTCTCTCTCTCTCTCTCTCTCTCTCTCTCTCTCTCTCTCTCTCTCTCTCTCTCTCTCTCTCTCTCTCTCTCTCTCTCTCTCTCTCTGTGTGCGTGTGTGTGTGTGTGTGTGTGTGTGTGTGTGTGTGTGTGTGTGTGTGTGTGTGTGTGTGTGTGTGTGCGCCCATGCATGCATGTATGCATGCATGCATGACATAATGTGGTTATGTGTGCAATAAGAAATAGACTTGGAATTATCCATGTTGACATAAAGATGTTACTGAAGTCCATCTCACAGTATATCTCACATATGAGACCCTAAAATGGTTCATTCTCTCTTTAGTTGGTTGTTTAATTTTTTTCTATGAACAGATTTTTTTTCATTACTGACAACATGTGATATTCATAGGTATATCCAACACAATGAAATGTGTAACCTTTTTATTATTAATTTGAGAATTTCAATTTATTAAATCTTATTTTTCCTCAACTTAATTTTACAGAGCATGTAACCAGCTTCGGTGCTTGGAGTGTGATTGTGCAGTCATCACCTTTGAAGGGTTTCAGTGGTCAGACAACACTGATTATCTCTTCCTCCGCAACAATTACCCTGTTGCTGCACGACTCAGGGCTCGTCTCAATCCTCTCCGTGGGACCCGAGCATACACGTGTCAGTGTAAGCAGCGATCTGTGAATGCAGCTACACAGCTTCCTGCAGATTCCGAAATGAAGTGGGTTTGTGGAAAACACTGATGTATTCTTATCTTGATTTTTTTTTTTTTTTTTTTCCATCATCATTAGCCTGGTGGTGTGTGGGGGTATGAGTTTCTTACTAGTTGCTACAAGAATTTATTAGCTTCTTGTATGAGAATTTTGAGGAAAAGCAGTAGATGGTCAAAACAAACTGGAACTTGTATGTTATTGTCAAATAATTGAATGTTTCATTGTTTTTTCTCAGTGTAAGATATTCATTGTGATCATACTGAGATTTTATTGGCATTCATTGTTATAATCATGTTTTT